AGACAACCTCTCGTCAATATGCGTTTTTTGCATTGCATAACTGCAAAAAACGCATAAAAACATTGAATAGAACGAATTCAGTAAATGATTCAAAAGTCACCTTGGCAAAAGGCTGACCATCAGGTGATGCAGCTGCGGGACAAACAACAAAAAAAAAAGTTACCGCCTGGAGGAGCAGGCAATGAATTACAATTGTTAAGTAGTAAATTCAAGCTACTTATCAAAGTAATAAATGTTTCCATCTGTCAGAATACGTACGATATTTGTGACGATTTTCTCCTTGTTGCGGTAGGGCAAATTTTCCAAATTTATCCTCCAGGCCTTCTGTATTCTCACGGCGAACCGTAACTGGCAGATTTGGTAGATTTCGGTGATGACGCGCATTGTTGCTTTCCTGCACCACACCATTTTCTGCAACTAAATTCATTTTGAAGTAAAAAGCAGTACGGGCCACAAAGGCCCTGTGGAGGAAAGGAAGAGGGTAGTAACCAGGCCAGGAACAACAGCCTATTCAGCGCAAGGTATCGACCGGCAAGGGTTACACCAACCCTACATATAATAGGAATAACCAGAGGTAGGACGGTGGCCGTTCAGGATAACCACAGACATTTATTACTTTTATATTTTCCCTCACAAGTTTACCAAATCCCAGCCATAAGGCCTTAAGAAAGCTAAGAAATCTTGGGAGGAGTTAAAACTGCGAGTTAACAAAGCGAATTGTGGAATGGCCCCCCAAAAAAAGTATCTGGAAATTCAAAAATGCTCAGCAAATATTTCATTCCCTCCTCCCACCTATTCCCCTTCCCCCTCCCCCCGTTCTCATGTTAATTTCAGCAGAGATGGAGGTTTCAGTGCCCCGTTCGTCAAGCTTACGTTTATTTTATGCAAAACTTAAGATTTGATACCTATAGGGGCACCAGAGTGTGCCGAACGTGAACCACCATGATTGGTTGAAGCTGCATCGCTGACACTCGGTGAACCACGACCCGAAACATTGGCACTGATCGGAACCACATCGCTGAAGTTATCCGGCAAAGTTGAAACATCCTCCACATCATCGTCTATTCCATCAGCGTTTCCTCAAAAATTCATCGTACTTATCCAGAAAAATTGAACATCTAATTTTGAACACGATATGTATAAAAGGCCAGCAGAATGCCACCGATGCGCTGGTCCGATCCACTAGCTCGATTATATGGTGAGTATCGTGGATGAGGAGAGCTCAAGATAGAACTCGATGGCGTGATTGTTGGCTCAGTCCGTGGAGAAGATCCACACAGCACATCAGTGACGGAAACATCGTATCAGGTATCAAGTAATTAATGAAATCACTGCTTTTACAGGTAATCGAGTCACTGATATGGTCCGTATAGCATTCAAATCAATTAACCCCAGGAAATCAGCCAAAACATCCTCCTAAAATTTCAGCTTCCTATCTTATCTGGTCCGAAATCGTTTTCCTGCCAAAGTTTTTCTTTCTAGCTTCTCTGCGTGAAACGTACAAGTTAATGAAAGCTAATTTAACGTTTCGGACAAGTTGATTTGACAAAAAAAAACTTTCTTTTTGGAAAAGAAGCAAACAGTTTTATTTGCAAAAATGGCAAAATTCTTCAACTAAATATTTCAGAAATTTTAAAAATACAAACAATGAATATCCCTGGCTAAGAGACTGGAATAGGACGGGGGTCTGAAATCTTCTGTGCGTTAACATATGCAGTTTGTTTGGCTTTGTTGGCTCACCGTGGAGAGGGACACAATCGAATTTTGACAACTAATAAAAAACTGGAAGTGCCACTTAAATCTCCCAAATAAGCAAGCCTGTATGTGCAGTGACCTGGTAACCTGTCTGTGTCTTTAAACCAACGAAATGTTCTGCACAGTACAGAAAAAAAGTAAAGTATCATACCATCAATGGAAGAGGATAAGCTTGCTGCTTCATCATCGCTTCCACCATCTGTTGTGCGATCTATAATTTTATTCATAACTCACTTATTTGAGTAAAAACATTTTCGACATGCTCAGTCATTCACTGTAGCAAAAATAAAAGCTAAACCGGCGATTTTTGCTTCAAAAGTGCCTGAAGCAATTCTACTACTCAAAATAAAAGTAAATACAGAGAATTTTGAAAGTTCTGAAGTTCCGAAAATTTTGTAACTCTTTTTTTCGAAACTATGAAACTTTTTCTTGAAAATTTTGAATTTGGAAGTTTTTTTTGAAACTCTCAAGAAAAAAAAATTTTGAAACTCCCAAAAAAAAAAATTTTGAAACTCTCAAGCAGTTCCGAAAGTTTTGAAACTAAATGAGGTAGAATTAAAGTATGACAAGTAAAAATGACCGATGCTTTCTGTATCCATAAAACGCGTTCTCTTTTCGGCTGAACCATCCGATATTTTATGTTTGCGCAATCGCTGTGGATGTCGCACTGATTCCATGAATTTCTCCTCCGGGCACATGCCTAGCGGTACTCGATTTTCACCAAGCGGAAATACAAGTACCTGCAATAGAGTTTAATAAAAATGACCGTGTTTTCGAGTTTTTTTTCAAGAAGCATGTACTATTCTTTCTAGTTTGTCAGCAATAATATTCAAGACAATTCCGTAACTTCCGCACACAGACACAGACACACACACAGACACACACACACACCAAGGTCATCACGGAACAGCTGAAGCTTCGCCAAGCTTTTCAGAAGGAAACTAATGATGCACTGAAGGGACGAAAAGAACACCAGGATTGTCAGCATGGTGACTACCAGGCGATGCAGCACTGATAAAGTATCCAGGACACTGTCAGCTGTGATGTATGACCCCCCGCATTGGTAGGATGTGAGACAGTGATCTTTATGTTTTGCTCTGTTGTTGTTGTGTGTGTTCCATTTAGTACGGAGTTGTGAGCAAGGTTGAGGAACGGCCAGTGCGCCTTCCCAAATGCACAGAATGTGCACAGTTCACAACCGCTGCCACCCTATCGATTACTCCTCGGTCACCGCGTGCGCCGTGTTCGCACAGCTAACCCTTACTCCCTGCCGGCTGTCTTGTTCTCGCCCTGCGCCGCTGTTTCCTTTGCGATTGTTTGCTGTGTTTTATTAACGCTGTAATTAAATCTTTACTCAAAACCTCTGATTGCAGTGCATCTCGTTACTCGGGGCAAGATTTGCGTCTGAGTTAGGCTGGGATTGAGATAACCTTCTTCATAGACGGAAACTGTACTCCGTTAAGCACAGCACAGCTGCATAGATGAACTAGGTATATTTAAGATACTTACTGAATCTGCATTAAAAGCTTTTAAGCACAACTTAGAAAGCCAGACAACAGAACTCTGCATAACAAACACATACAAAAAAAGAACATGAAACTTACGTTCCTGTTCCCGTTGCTCTGAAGGAAGACAAAATCAATAGACAACAAATCGACACTGGTGTTCGCAAAAAAAAAGAAGGAAAAACACAAGTTTTGAAATCCTTGCATGCCTAAAAAACGAAAAACTATACCTCAGAACTGATCGCAAGAGACGTATGTGTTTCAGGCGAATCTGCGCTTTTGAACTGTTTCGATCGCAAAACTTTGTAATCGCCGCTTTGTGCTGTAATAAATGTCAAGTCACAGTAAGGATGAAATTTCGACATGCTGTGAAGCGGAGGGTCAGTTTGCAGTCTGTGTTTCATCCCTAACGAAGTAAAACTAATGGGAATGTGGTGCCAACATAAATTAGCAGACGATAAAGAAGATAAGTATCGGAAAGTGTAGCAATGCTACTGGCAAGGTGCAGCGAAGAGAAATGGAATAGTCGACTATGTTTATTTGATATTCTGTGAAGAAGCCAAATTTTACAATCCCACTTAAGCTAGTCGGTATTTTTTGCATTGGGTGACGTCTGTGTTTCATCTCTGAACTGTAAACACAGACGATTAAAATGGTGCGAAATGGGGTGGCAATCATCAGTACAGTGTTCCATTTCGCTATGTAATTGGGGACATGTTAGGTAATTTAGAAGAGAAGAGAATGATGCAGGATAGACAGATTGTTAGAATCGGGAGACGATGAGTGGCATTCATATAATGTGGCGATCTACACTTCGGCTGGACTTGGATGGATGAGATAAG